CATCACAAACGAGCTCGCCCGTTTGCTGATCCTGTGTGGGCTTCAGTTGCCATCGGCATCAAGTAGAGCGGTCAGGTCAGCTGAAGCCACCGACGGGGAGTCTATTTAGCGGTGGTCTCAAACAAGAACCGGTCGTGCATTAAAGGTGAGTCGTTTGTGGTTGTGTTCTATGACTTTCTGGATCCTACTGGTCTGGGACTAGCTTATCTGAGGTTTGAAATGATTTCCGAGGGTAGTTTCACTTTGATTTTGACTTTTTCCAGGCTCTGACGAAGGCGATAAGGCGCCGAAACGTTAGCCAATAAAACTTTTATACCATCTTGGTTACGGCTGAAGCAATACCCTAGTAGAAAAGTTGTTGAGCTTCTCAAAGGAGGTGTTATTTCTGTGGAATTTGGTCTTCTTGAAGAATGTCCCTGATAATCAGGACTTCGCATTGATCCTGTATACCCCGAGAGTCCTCCTTCCTTTCAACAGCATCGGAAGAAGGAAAAGGAACCTTCCAATCAGGAAGAGACAATGGATAGAAATCCCGTTTTCTTTCTATTCATGAAATTGCAGAGTGTATTCCTCCGAAAAGTCCAGTTCTCCCTGGATTCTATACGTGCTAAAGGGTTGTAGCATAAAGGTTAACAAACCAAGAGTGGAGCTTTGGTGGCGTCACGGATAGCGCTCGCTCCGTTAAAGTGAAGTGCGGGTTCGAATCCAGCCCGGAATCAAGACATTCGCCCACAGCTCAGCCATTTCTTTCATTTCTATGCATACCTGGGAACGATGTGATTCACAAAGGATCAGCCCAAATGTAACAATGTGGTTATATTTCAGCTCCACAATCACGACCGTATTGCTGAATCAAGGAAAAGGGCTCAGAAAGCGAGAATGTCGGTCTGTTTTTTTTCTAAGAAAACCTTTCGATTGACATCCCTTTCTTTCGCATGTAAGAAATGTCGGAGATACTTTCAGTCCCTAATTCTAAATGAAACTCTGGAAGTAGGCCGTTACTTTTCATTTTCAGATGGGCGATTTGCCACCGGGAACGACGATAGTGAGGGTCTGTTTTAATGCTCCTTCGGACCATTGTATCTTTTGCATCTCTTCAGGTCTTCAATCCATAAAACATCTAAGTCGATTTCGTATTTCAGCAGCAGGAAGAGCGTACGGTAAAAATAACTCGAATCAGCCCAGATGGCAAGAAGACTGTTCATGCCAGAGGAAACGACGATAACCAGAGCGGTAGTTTGACTTTTGTTATTCAGAACGGCGCTACAAGCGCGACTTAACTAGCGATCGACTTTCAGCCAGTACATTCAAGGCATAGGAAGCAGAGGACGTACCACACCGTCCAGAGAGAGTGTGTATGCGGGTTGGACTGGGAGCCTGGATGGACTCTCTGCCCGAACCAACAACTGTTTTTCGCTGACCTTTCAACTAAATCCGTGGAAACTCCCCATCCACCGACGGGACATTCATTAAACCTGCTATCATTAGCCTGCCCCCTTCCACCGTTTACTGGGGTGGCAACATTTTTTACAGCTCGAACTACAACCCTTGACTTCACTGCGTAGTACTACTTTTTTGAACTACAACCCTTGACTTTACTGCGTATTGGCTGAATATTAATTGCGCTCGAGGTGAGGTGCAGTCATGATCCCTGCGAAATGAAGGGCATGCATTGAAGCGTTGCCAAGCCGGTCTTTCGCACCAAAAATGCAATACTGAGTCTGTAACCATTGGCGGAAAAGCTGTTTTAAGCCCGCTCCAACTCACGCTCATTGAGACGCCCTGTGTTGAAGTTTTTTTTTTCTCAAACTCTTTGGCCTCCGTCTAGGTTTCCGATTTCAGTATACGATTAATGCACCTGGTATGGGAACGGCTACCGGACGACGACGTTGGAAGAAACCTGCCGATGGCTCTGCGGAGCCTAAGGTACGCGAATCTCAGCCGTGTATTCCCCCATAACTGCTCAGTATAGAAGTATTGTCCTTTTTGCCTTGAAATCAGTTTATTGCAGAAATCAGCAGACCGACCAGGCTCGGAATCCAAGGTACGTGGACCTCATTAGAGAGTTCCATAAGGGCTGAATATTGTACTAATGCTCCCAGTGTTTTCAAAATATGCTTATTCCAGAAGCCAGATCAGCCGGCTGCTGCTAAACCTGTTCAATGGGTTGGCACTAAATCTGACCAACCTGCTGCTGCTGAGGCCAAGGTACTCGGGAAATTCGCATGCGCGGTTCGGCTTGGTGGGAATCGTGAGGTGGCATGCAGCTGAGCTTGTACATGTCATCTTGTGATGATCTGCAGACTCCTGTGACCAAGGTGGCTCACTCGTACTATTTTGCAGCTTCACGAGAGTTGGCAGGTGTCACCAAAGCGAGACATGTTGTTCGAACTGAACTGACAGATGGCACTAACGAAAGTGGGAAGTCCCCCCCCTCCAAGCCGAACAGCACAAGAAATCGCTTCCAATATCACCATTACTGCACTATCTCTTCCGCACTTTCGAAAGATCTTTTCAGAAACCAGATCAAGCGGTCGGTGCCTTGGGCAAGGCTACTCCAACGCGTACAAAATCAGGGCATTCACCAACTGCTGGCAACGTATGCTGTAACGTATTTCCATGTGGAGGTGACCCAGGTTCACCTTCCAATGTTCGACAAGAACGAAGTGCAGCCGGTAAAGAAACAGAAACAGAGACGGCTCTCACCAATGTATCCAGGGTGAGCAGATTTCATCGATTTGGTTCCAGATAGCGGGGCATGACTAGCAACTTTCACTTTGGGAGCTTCCCTATGCGAAATTCGGTTACTCTTGACAGAAGCCAAAAGATAGAGGGTAAACAACTGCTCAAGTAATCCCAATAAGGCTCATATATTGGTTTTAATAAAAGCGCAACGGCACAGTCCACGCTGATCGTTTGGGCAGAAACAGTGAACATATGTGCATTTCCCAATGACGCGCCTTTAGAGACGGCAACTTCGCTCATGTCTTTGCCTGAACGAACACTGCGTTTTGTACATTAATATATATAGCGATCACTCTCACACGCTGGGCCCGGCTCGGTGGCATTTTATCGGCGCGCGACAAGTCCATGCTATAATCTGTCCCGAAGGAAGTTAGGTTTCATTCAAATGATTTTGATCGATTATGGAAAAAAATTCTACACCTACGAGAGAAGGGAAATTTGAGAAGTAACACCTTCAGCCCACACTACATATTTTCTGCTCTTCTGCGACCCTAGCCCTCCCAACATTCCGACATCTGCACAGAAGATGGCAGATGCGCCGCTGCGGCCATGCTGAACCTCGAACGCGACGTGGAACGCAACGTGGACCTCCCAGCCCGTAAGCATCAGCAGTTCACGGGATGTGCTACACACTTATTGCCCGGAAGGATTTTCTTAGTCAGGACACATCATCGAGTTGTGGAAAATTTTCGTAAGATATGACCACACCCCCCCCCACTCTTATCTTCCCTACATACACTGAAAATATCTGGGATGTGGTAGGCGTGGCTGCGTACTTCAACTAAACGTGGCGGTGGCTGTGCTTTTGGTGAGACATTTTCATTTTGACACAACTGTGGTCATGTCTCTGTCCAACACTGAACAAAATGACAATTGTCTCAACTCAAACTTGAAAAATTGCACGAGTAGTTATCAGTGAAGTCAGTAGAGGCGTGTCAAGGCGAAATTGCCGAGGCACCAACCTCCCTTGCCACTCTTTGAACGCCCGAAGCTGCAACGATCGATGGAAAACGCGCTGATGCCGCACCAAAGCCCACCCATATTGACAAACCTCGACGCAGGTACAGTCCTCATCATTGCGGACCGGTGGGGCGTGTCAGCCAGAAGGAGTGCGCACACTGTTGAAGCCGTTCTCAGCCTTTTTTGTTGCAACGCGTATGCGACAAAAAGTGGTAGAAAACGAGTAATACGAAGGATATAATACAGTAATGCACTTGCCCGCTTCAAAAACTGGTGCAGAACGACTTTGCCAAACCGCACCAAACGCAGCCGCACTGCCACGCCCCACCGGTCCGCAATGATGAGGACTGTATATGCTCCATACCTATTTCTCAATTTAACGAAATGTCAAATTTTCTCGGAATCTTAACGCCTAAGCGGCGGGTAGGGAGGTAAGTACCTCCGGCACTATCACAGCTAGCAGTTTGGTAAAATGCAATTCCTTCCCTAGACGGTCAACCACCCCTCTCCCCCTCCTGTTGTGACTTCCATAACGATGATGTGCTCTGATTTTAATTCCAGAAGATCCCGATCTGGATTTTTCGTTGCAAAATAGAATCAATTTTGCGGAATCACAATCTTTTATGTTTTCAGATTCCTGCTCTAATGTCCCAGATAGCCATGCTGAACAATAAGAATCTAATACAAAAGCAAAGTGATTACATGTACTAGAGATAGTCTTTTGGGTGGAAAGTTTCTAAAATTCCGATGACGATCCTTTTTTCCCTACAATAAATATTTTGAGGGCAGTGGGAGGGATGGGTGGGGGCGGACGCTTGTTGCTAACGTCATCGATGGAGTGCTGAGTGTGGCCGAAAGTCCTCAGCCTTTCCGCTACTGACGCTGCTGGTAATAACCGCCAGCCTCCAGCAATCGTGCCCACTGCTTTCAAATACATTGATAATTGAGCATTCAGAACCCATGATAATTTTTTTCCTTGCCATTAGCATCTAGTCATCGGCGTTTTGTAACTGGTCATGTCAGAATTTCACTTTTCGCTTTGAATTTGATTGTTTACAAATTGCTTCCCATACGTAGTCCATGCAGCATCAGATCCGCGATTACTGTAACTGTTAGTTGGCTGGTTTGCCAATGTTGTGTAAAAATGTAGGTGGATAATCGTCGCGATCGATTTCTGTACTTCTCTGTCCCTCTCGTTCGAGCTAGTAAAGTTCTAAATTTGGGGCACGTGTCACATCCATGTCACGAAGGCACTGGGTACACAACATAGTTACCCAACTGCTCCGGAATTTCCGCTGAGAGAAAAAGTGTTCCAGAACAATTTAAATAGCAAATAATGGTTACAGTACAAGGACACTTATTCAAAATTACACTTCTTCTATCGTAATGGTTTTGAGAGTGTGAGGTTGGGGGAAGGCGGGGGACACTGCGCACTTTTCCTAGCTTCTTTTGCTAGTGCTTGTTAACATTACATGGCTCACCTTATTTTTAGTAGGACATGTTAATAGGCATCAGCAGAAGCCCCCCCAACTGGCAAGTGCTTCTGCATAACTTCACATGAGTTTACAAGTAAGCACAGGAGGCATCGGCGGGAAGCAGCAAAACGCCCCTACCAGGCCGACTGCGCTCGATTCCGAACCAACTCCCTTTTGGCGTGATCCATGCTGATATGCCTGTGTGGTGCAATGATAGGTGTGTTTACAAAATTTAGACAAGTTCCAAGGATTAGTATCGAGCTACACTCATCACTGCCGAAAAGGCCCAGCAAAAGCCACTTACGGTAAAAGCTTCGCTTCGACCGGAACTCCTCACAGTGTCATTGTGCTTCCCACGCAGCGCGCCGTCCACTGCGCCGCAGCGTCAATGTGGACTGTCCCACTGGGAAAAGTAAATAGTTGTTCAACTATTAAAAAAAGGTAAAGTCTTCGCCGTTGATCATCCTTTGTGGGATGCGGCACGCATTCTACTTCCATTCAGAATCGTAGTGGCTTATTGAATGCGATGTGGCCTATACAATGACTTGCGGGGGCCAGCCGATGTACAAGTCAGTGTTCTTATCCTCCCAAACACATCTGGTACACCTTTTATCCCTGAGCCAGAGTAGGCGTGGCATTGAACATGGCACGGAATGGTTACTCGTGGAATATTCCAGTCTGGGACAACTGTCATCTTGTTCTGTGTTGGACAGAGACATGACTACGATTGTGTCAAGATGAAAAAATGTCACAAGAAGCGCGTAGACAGCTTCAGGTCAAGTTGAAGCATGCGGCCACGCCTACCCGATCTCAGAAGCGTGGACTGCTCAGGTCAAGTTGAAGCATGGGGCCACGCCTACCCGATCTCAGGGATTTCGAGTATACCAATTCACCGTCCTAGGGAGTAGGAGGCTTGGTTGGCTTGGGCGGAAGTCGACACGGGATCCGAACTTGGGACCGTACCACTTATCACTACACCACACCCGCCTCTGTACGACTATTACCACCACACAATCTCAAAAAACCTCTTCGCTGGAAACCTCGACCATAACGATTACTCAATGCTTTGATCAGACATCCGCTTTCCTGGACTGAGTGGTGCGGGCACCAACTTGGCGCCGCGACGACTCTTCTTGCCAGATTTGCTATTATTCGCATTCGGGGGTCAGTTTGGGGGACCTAATCGAGAAACTGGCATTCATTTTGGCTGCCGACGTAGGGCCCTGCTGAGGCTGAGCATGAAATCAGCGTTAGCAGCGTGCAACACGATCAGAGTGCCCTACGTCAACACTTGCAATGGAAATGATTGCATTATCCGCGATCAGGAAAACCTGGTATGCAAAGTTAACCGAATTTGGGGAAATCTCGGTGGCTTCAAGTTGGTGTCTAAACTATTCTTTCGCCACATGACTCCGCCGCTAAGAGAAAATGTCGTATTCCCTTTCAGAGAATCAAATTGCTCTAAGGTGCAAGTTTATACCTACTGTGGTAAAAATTGTGGCTCTGATGAACTCTCGGGGTTAACAAGACAACAATGATAGTTGCTTGAGTTCAGGGACAAAACGTGGACCCGAAAGTCGTCGTGTAGGTCACATTGCATTCAAACAGCCACTGCTATTCTGAATGGAAGTGGGATGCACGCCGCATCCCGAAAGGATTGATCGGCGGAGATTTTGCCCTCCTAGATCACCTCTGTCATATGTCCCCTTTC